ATAAGTGAGTGTCTGAAGTAGAGCTTAGTCTCTTTTAATACTTGCTGCCCTGTACATAGATACTGCAGCTCAAAGAAAGGAAAGGAGGGAAAGGAAAGGAAAGGAAAGGAAAGGAAAGGAAAGGAAAGGAAAGGAAAGGAAAGGAAAGGAAAGGAAAGGAAAGGAAAGGAGGGAGGGAAGGAAGGAAAGAAGAAAGAAAAAGAAAAGAAAAGAAAAGAAAAAAGAAAAGGAAAAGAAAGGAAAGGAAAGAAGAGAGGGCTATGGATGTAGTTCCCTGTAAAGGCATTGAATTCAAACCTGGATACCACAAAATAAGTTGCAGAAATAGTACCAAGTTCCTCTACACCCTATACCCAGTTTCTCTTTTGTTAACACTTTAATGTTGTACATTTATGAAAACTAATACAATAATAAAAAGTCCCCTAATTTTTACTTAATGTTCATTTTCTCTTCCAAGATGCTACATTTCATTTAGTTGACATGTCTCCTGAGGTTCTTATGATAATTTGTAAGGCTTGTTTTCCCCGTGACTTCAATAGGTTTGAGGTAGTAAGGTGTTTTGTAAGTTACCCCTAATATGGAGATTGTCTGGTTCTTTGCTCATGGTTAGACTGGCTTGTGTTTTGGAAACAAATACCACAAAGGTGGGGCGGCCTCATAGCTTATCAAAGGTACACCCTATTCACATGACTTACCACTATTGATGTTAATCTCAGTCACCTAGCCAAGGTGGTGTTTGTCAGATTCCCCTACTGTAGTCATTTTTCCTCCTTTCCAAACTAATTTTTGGAAGAAAGTCAATCTGTGCAGCTCACTTAAGAAGTAGAGTCAGTGTTCTGTTTCCTTGAAGGGAGCATATCTGCAAACATTGTTTGAAGTATGCAGACGAAAGTATGGGACTTTTGTCTGTTCATGTTATTTATTAATTTACTTAGTCATCACATCAGTATGGATTGAGTTTTTTTTTTATGTTGTATTTCAATATGAGGTTATATATTTTATTGTTCAGTTTCTTCCAGTTTGGCCATTGGGATCACTCTCATGGCTCCTGTGTCCCTTTGACACACGCTATTCAGTTTGGTTTTTATTATTTCCTTACTCTCATGCCCAAGAATACATTGCGGGGGGCGGGGGGAGTGGAGATCAGTGAGCAGATTCAACATAATTTGGAAAAATGTTATAAATTTTAATACAATTAAAGAGCAAAACTTCCTCAGGATTCCTTTTTGCTTCTGCCTGCCCTGGTGAAGCAGCTACACATGTCATTGCTCTCTGTTTGGATGCCTTTAGTGCCTGTGGCTGCCCACAGATACTTAAGACTGACAGTGGCCCAGTATACACAAGTGCTGTCTTCCAAAAGTTTTGTAAAATTTTTCTTATTTCCCTTATCACAGTGATTCTTTATAACCTCAAGCTCAAGGAATTGTTGAATGTGCTCACCATATGATCAGAATTGAATTGCAAAACAAAAGAGGGTCGGGGAGATGGCTCAGGGGAATAACTGCTTCCCTGGCAAGCACAACAGCCTGAGTTCAATCCCTGGTTCCGCCAAAAATAAATAAACTAAAGGGGGAATGTTTCCCTACCTCATTATAGACTTCACTTTTCTTTCTTTTCTCTCTCTCTCTTTCTTTCTTTTCTTTCTTTCTTTCTTTCTTTTTTTTTTTGGCAGAACAGGGGATTGAACTCAGGCCCTTGTGCTTGTCAGAGAAGCAGTTATTCCCCTGAGCCATCTCCCTGGCCCCTATAGACTTCACTTGGCAGTATACACTATTAACTTTTTAAATGCTACCAAAAATGGAAGTACAGCAGCAGAAAGACAATTCTATCAGGTAAGAGAAAAAAAGCTAGGAAAGGTCTTTTTGAGAGATCTCCATACTGGACAATGGAAGGGACCTAGTCCAGTACTAACGTGGGGCAGAGGGTATGCCTGTGTTTTTCCAGACAAGGCTGAATGACCTATCTGGGTATCTGAGCATGCTGTCAGATTATACTATGAAGCCCGATCTGAAGAGCTGTGAGGCTAATTCCAACATGGGGCCTACTGAAGGAATTGACCAAATGGAAATCTAAGGTCTAAATAGATGATTAAAACATAAAAAATAACCAAGCTAAATTTTACTAGTATTAATACAAAAATACAAAATATTCATATTAACTATAGGTAAAAGATTTATTCCAAATATTTCTAATAAGAGATCTCTGCTACTTGACAGATAATAAAATCTAAACATTGTAATAGAGTTACTAAAATTTAACTTGGCCAAAAATGTATTTGAGTGTACTCCTATTATGTAAGGATATTTGTGAGTTCTGTGTATTTGTTTATGTGTAAATGTGTTTATATGTAAATCAATGAATATTAATAAATATTCATAATTAACCTTTTTGTATCTTTGTTTTGCATTAACACAATGATAACCTATTCATATCTTACCTTCAGCTCAGTTTAGAAGTCAATCAATGAGTTTTTTTAACTTTACACATATGTAGAATATAAGAGGAAATTTAGAAAGAAGTCAATTTAAAAAGAGGAAACTGAGGTGTTATTGTGGATAATTAAAAATTATAACATATTATTAGAGGACTATTAATTGAATACATTTCTACCCTGCCAGAGAGGCAATTTATCCCTTCAAAGAAAAAAAAAAGCATGAGACCTTCAATTTACTTTGAGAGTAATCTACAGGTTTAAAAAAAAAAATTCTAGATCCATCTTTATTTTTTTTTAATTTATTTATTTTGTGAGTGTGTGTGTGTGTGTGTGTGGCCAGCTCAGCCCACCAGGGGGCGGGGCTGGCTGGCATGTGGTGCTGGGGATTGAACCGCGGTCCCTGTTTCTTTGCTAAGCTTGTTCTAAGTAGGTGCTTTAGACCACTGAGCCATCTCACCAGCCCTCTAGATCCATCTTAATAAATGACCAACCCTCAGTATCACAAAGATTAGGGAAGGAAGAACCTAAGAAGTAATACCAATCCTCAATTCTCTACTTCTCTGTTATGGTTCAAGTCTAGATGTCCCCCCAAAGCCTCATACAGCCATAGAGTTTTTCAGAGGTGGCTGGATCCAGAGTGTGTGGATTCATAGTGAAATGCTGGGAGTAAAGGTGTTGGGGTTAGGGTGGGTCATTACTGGATTAGTCCATCAATTGGATTGGCACTGACACAATATAAGGGACAGAAAGAGGCTATGTCCTGTTTTGTTGCTTTTGTTGCCTCTGTCACCCTCAACAGTTGCCCCTCTTTCATTTGCCACCCTGTCTTGGAGCCAGTCAATTACGGACTGAAACCTCCACAAACTGTGAGCTAAATAAACCTTTCCTCCTTTAACTTTGGCATCAGGCATTTTGTCCAAGCAATGACAGAAAAGTAACTAAGATATTCTCAAGGAGTAAATTGAGGGGCTGGAGAGATAGCCCAGTGGTCTAAGCACCTGCCTGCCAAGCATAAAGACCCGGGTTTAATCCCTGGTACCACATTCCATGCTGGCCCCAAAACTGGGCATGGTGGCACATGCCTACAATCCCAGTGTGGGGAGACTGAGAAAGGAGGATCGCTGTGAGTTCGGGCTGAGTGGCAAAACCCTGTACCAAATAAATACATAAAAAGATTTTTTTTAAAAAGTAAATTGGGTGAAATGGTGGCAGTTGTCCAAATATTTATATGGAAAAACTTTTAGTTCTCATATTTGTAGTTATCTTAAATCCATTTATATTAGTGTAATGTTCCTTCAGTGTTTGAAATTTATTTCAGTGGTTGAGTAATTGTCAGCAATAGAAAAACTTACAAACATACCACATACAGCTGTTTATGAACATGCACCTGACTGGTACTTCCAGTGCCTTTCTTTGTGGCGCTCAGTGTGCCTGGTCACTGACGTTTAGTTTACTTCTCCACAAAACAAGAAGAGAGTAAAACTTCACAGATGAGAAAACAGACTCAGGAAGCACCACTGGGATGAAAACCTAAGTCCCTGCTTTTTATTTCATTTGCTCTGCCTTTTCAGAAAGATATAAATGACCTCTTTGAATTTTTCTTTTTTATTTACACCCTATAAGAAAAAGAGAAAGGGTTGGGGAGACAAGTCACATTTTTAGCAGACACCATCAACAGCTTGTAGCTATTTACTTGATAAACCAATGTCTTACTGGATCCTAATGTGGAAACTAAGATTTAAAAAAAAAAAAAAAAGATAGGACAGCTAATGTATCTCAGTCAAGTATAATTTATTGGTAGTGCTAAATTATTCAAATGATCAGCCAGAAGTAGAAAGTACTTCTACCAGGTACATTAATGAATAGGAAGTAAAACAAAAGTCTTGGGTATCTATAATTTTTATCTATATAACCTTTGTAAGACCAATACTGTACTATTCATGTATGTCAGAAGATGTACATTTGTTACAGCATTAGAAACAAGAAAAATTGAGCTTCTAATAATAAAAGACCAAGCTTATTAGAACAAGAATAATACAATCATTTAAACAAGATCAGAAAGGGATTAGGAGAAATAGAAATGAGTCCATTCAAATAAACCTGGAATTTCACTGTAGGAAAACAATTAAAGTTCTGAAAGATAAAACATTTTTGGACAATATGAAAGCGAGAGTTATTGGATTTTTTCAGGTTCTAAAGACATCTCTGGATCAAGCCTCCCAGTGAAATTCAGGGCATTGACAATGGAACATCTAAATGTAAGCAATAATTATAGCAAAGAAAACGACAGCTAGCATAAACCTGCTGATTGTCACTGTTGAAGCCAGGGAATTGCTCGTTTCAGTTACTCTTGATTTCAGGGGCTTCCTGATACGATCTTCTGTGGTTAAGATAGTTTTCCGAGCCCCAGCCCACTTTCCAGGGCCCTGTAGACGAAAATGGACGGGAGTACAGGGTCCAAAAATTAACTTTAAGGCCAGCTTGGGGTCAGTGAAGGCCAGAGGCAGTAGGTTGGGCCTGACTCCCACCAAATCAGCAAGCTCTTCCATCGTTGCTATGTAATCTCCCTGAATGGTATGGCGTTGGCTCTCCACATACCTGAAGTAAAGAAGACAGAAGCTATCACTCATCAACAATTCAATCAACCCACCGGCCATCAATCAATGTTTTCTGAGTATTTGCTATTGGCTTGGTTTTGTGGCATTGTGGAAAGTAGAAAAATAAGACATTGTCACCATCCTTAGACTTTCTGATTGCCTAGAGGAGGTAAGACTAATATGCATAAAACAAAGAAGGCTTCTGTGGTTTTTGACTGCTAGATAGAAATGTAAAGACAAGGTAGTTAAAAGAGGGACATCAGTATTTGCTTCTGTAGTACATGTACTAAAAGAGGGATATTATATTAGGTCCTTGAAAGATGTGAACATTATACATTAGGTAAACCACAGAGCGCAGACATAATGTGGTGTAGGAATCCATTGGTCTCTCGGTGTGATCCATTGTACCCCGGGAAGAAATGGCAGCAGGAATGAGGAAAAGATAGACAAGAAGACAAGAGCTGGGTCAGGTGGTGGCCTATCTGCCCAATAATAGTAAGGGCCCTTATCAATATCTTTACAAAGTTGCAAGACACAAGGTTGTCTAGTGACTAATAGCCCACATTGTCCAGGCAGGATCTTTTTTCTCAAGACTGAGGTAGCCTGACTGCTTTAGGCACGGAGGCCTCATTCTGCCCTCCCACATAGGATCAATTTCAGCTTGAGCCACTCTCAACAATGTGGGAGTGGCACCTACCATATGCATGGAAGGTTTATGGGCATTCTCTACAGTAGTGGAAAATAAGAATATAGACAGAGGTGAGCAGAGCCTACCCAGATCCAGATACCTCTGATTTATGGAAAAGAAAACTCACCACAGAAAGTCTCAGGCATGGGACTCATTATTTTATGAGGGCAATGGTGGTGGGTAATAAATGGCAATATTATAGGAAGCGAGGTCAGAAATTAATACACAGAGAGGGATTGGGCTGTCAAGTCAGTAAAAGTTAAAGACATCAAAATGGTGGCTGGAAATGCTAAAGAAGGCCAGGCCTCAAGACAAAGATGCAGTGGCCAGGCCCTCATGCCTCCGAAGGGAGAAACAATAACTTGAAGTTATATTGTAATTAGCACTGCCTAGTCCAGTGAGTCCAGCTAGGCACCCAGCATTGCTCGGGTGGGTGACCAGTGCATCTGTATTTCCTCACAAAATGTCTTTGTTCTTTCCATATCCCCTTGCTACGTGTCTCATTTCCCTCTCGCATCAATATTAGCTAAGCAGCTACACTCATAACCACTTCATGGTTCATGCCCTGCATCGCTTCCATAATGCATTTTGTGATGTACTGACTGTCCCAAGCATTGCTCAGACACGCAGCATTTCAACCAGTCAGTTCTTGCTTGCTGGAGATATACATCTGTTTGTTTCATATTAAAGATTCTTCATTTTTTAAAATTTGGAATGTTGTATTTGCCCTTGATACCTGTTCCTAGTGAAATCTAATAGAAAGTTGCTGTTATTTTCTTTTACTAACTCATTTTTTATTTTATTTGTAAAAAATAACCTATATTTTGTGGTATAGTCTATAAAAACTTTTATTGTAAGTCTATTAGATATGATTTTTATTATTCTACAGAAGTCAGTGATATTCTTTTACAATATAAAACAGATGCATTTAGGACCCTGAGAAGGAATAGGAAGGAAGTACCAAAAGTCTCCAAAGAACAAACTGCAAAAGGGTGAAATAATGTTAGCATAGCGGAGAGGAAAAGTCTGTTATGAAATAGAAAGACATAGGGGCCGGGGAGATGGCTCAGTAGAAAAAGCGCTTCCTTGGAAAGCACAAGGGATGGAGTTCAATCCCCGGTTCCGCAAAAAAAAAAAAAAAAGAAAAGAAAAGAAATGAAAAGACAACTGCTTATGTCAACTATTCATAATACAGAAATGATAGAACTTGAAAGAAGAAATGAAACTAAAAAATTCTAATAGAGGTCAATGTTTATAATAGTTCTGTGGATGGTATTGACAAAGCTGACGAGCAGCTAATAAGCCATCCTGTAATCAAAAAAACAAAGAAAATATTGCTTTTGTTTTTGTTTTGGTGGAACCAGGGATTAAACTCAGGCCCTTGTGCTTGCCAGGAAAGTGCTTATTCCACTGAGCTATCTCCCTGGCCCGAGGAAAATATTATTATAAAATATTTATGCACTTTTTTGGACCAAATAATATGGAACTCCTCTGTTATTTATTCAAAACAGAGGGTTCAAAAAGTCATTTACAATTTAGATTAGGTGTGAAATAGACCAAATAATTGAAAAACAATGAGATAACAAAGGGCCAGCCAGGCTGTCCCTCTCTGATGTCTTCACCATTATGTTTAGTGGGAGACACTGTAATGAGATTATACCAGTCACAGAAAAAAAGGGAAGGCCAACAGGACAGTGTAAAGTATGTTGTCCAAAGAAAGATAATAATCCAAAAAGAATTTACAAGGAGACTAGATACTCCTACTCAGATTGTAACACTGCAATGTGTATTGAATATTTAGAAATATACACAAAAACTTTCGAATAAATTTGATAAAATTGCCATTTTTATATTTCCTGTTATAAAAATTAATGAGAAAATGTGCAAGCAATGGTCATTCTGTATTTAAATAATTGGACTGGTGAGTACATAATCCTATCAGTTGATTATGGCCTGAAACACATTGTATTTACACTGTGACTTAGTGATGTAAATGGTCCCTAACAAAAGACCTTGGTGGCAACTCACTCTGGGGACCCCTCTTGTCTCTCAAGAGCTATTTCCTAATAAGCTGTCCCCTACTCTTAACTTCCATTGTTCTCTTAAAATTCATTCATCAATATTCAGGGGATAAAAATTAAGCACATCTGAGCTCTGGCAGGTTGGGAGTTGTATTTCTCTTATATCAGCGGGGCTTGCCGGGGTCCTTGTTAATTTGAAATCCTGAAAGGATAAGGGAGCTTAGCAACAAGGAGCAGCCCTCCAGATGCACTGATTACACCAAGGGCAGATTTGAAGACCTAAAGAGCCTTTTAAAGGAAAAATGGGACAAACATTGAAATGTGAAAGAAGTTAAATTTGCAGATAATGAAAGATGTTCACTTTTTACTTTCTACCATGAAAATTAAAAAACAAAAACAAAAACAAAAAACCAAACAGTAGCACAGAAAGGAAGTGAAAAAAACTGTCAAGATAGTTGACACTGAAGAATCCCAAAACAATGACAGGAAAACATGAGGAAAACATGACGGAGAATAAATCTGAGGTAAAACTGGTAAGATGAAATTCCAGAGGAACTGACAGAGGACTGAAATGGGCTAAAGTTTAGAAGAAAGATAAGAACAGTAAAGAATTTGACAGCTTTCCTTTCTGGAGATAATTTAGCTCAAGGGTTTGTAGAGCTTCATTTATTTTTCTAGTAGTAGGTCAGAAGCTGTAGTATTTGGAAGGTTTTCACAAAAGGCTCACTCGTTACTTTCTTAAAGGGTTGATAGGAGGATTAAATAAACTCCATGCACATGAGATGCTGAATATATGATAGCCAGCTTTCAATAACTGTAAAAGTCTACCTTGGGAACTGCTCACAGATGGTGGTTAGGCAAACAAAAGAAAGCAGGAGTTGAAATAAGATGATTTAGTGCCAGAAAAGAAGGGAAAGAAAGCACGGAAAGAACAAATGACTCCAAGAAGGAAGGAATGCCAACGTCAGGTGAGAGAAGAGCAGTGGGTGATCTTTCAGAGAGTAGTTTTGGAAGTAAGGAGGGGAGTTACGATGCAGGGTTAAACTTGAGAGCATGGGATAGAGAAACTTTACTGTAGCAGTGGGGTTTGTTTTGCTTTTGTGTTTATTTTTTGAGACAGGGCCTTACTATGCAGTTCAGGTTGACCTTGAACTCCTTTGTAGCCCAGGCTAGCCTCAAACTTGTGGCAATCCTCCTGCCTTAGCTTGCAGGTGTGTGTCACTGGACCAGCAACTGTTGAAGTTTGACAGTGAAAGGAAAGAAGAAATAGGAGAACACTGGACCAGGGTCATTGTTTAATAAAGCTTTCTCTTCCCCTAAGGTAGGGGAGAATTATTCAAATAAGTATGATCAGTTGAAGAAAATCACCTCTTTTGGCTTAGAATAATCAATTTCCGCTCTGTCCACATAAAAAACCACCCAGGAACTGAGCTCAAGTTCTGCAGTTCAGGTGACAAGTTAATGTGTTCATCAGCGCAATAGTGGCTTGCTGATTCTACCATCTTTCCAAATCATGTAGCTTTTCTCATGCCTGAAGCCACTGTCACCTGAGCTCTGTCACCTGAAGACAGTCAGTAAAGTGGTCAGTAAAGTCAGTAAGAAGGTTTGCAAATCTACTTATGGATTTGAAATCCAACCATATGTACTTCTCACTTACTCATTGCTTTCCATTCTCTGGTGGCTCTACTAGTACTTCAAATAATCCTCTTGCAAAGAACATACTTGATTTTTTTCTTTTTTAACCTACTCAACTTTTCTTCTATGCCCTGGGTTCAAACTTTCACTCGTCCTGCATCAGTCTTTCTTTTTTTCTTTTTTTTTTTTTTTTTTGTGGAACCAGGGATTGAACTCAGACCCTTGTGCTTGCCAGGGAAGCACTTATTCTACTGAGCCATCTCCCCCACCCCTCAGCCTTTCAAAGTACTGGTGTTAGCCATCCATATTAAATCACAGGTAGCATTTCTCCATTCTGTTGTCACAAGCACTTACTCCCTATTCCATCAAGATATACTCTAAGTCCTTAAAGTTGCAAGAGAGACAAGAGGTACTATATTGCTCTAATTAAGATGTAAGTAGAAACATATATAATATATATATTAATATTTATATTTATATATCTCCAAGGGGATTTCTTACCTTTTTTCTATTTTCTCTTGAACTTTAGTTATTTCTTCCATCATTTCATGTTTTGAGGGCAATGTTTTTATCCCTATGAGAAAGATTAAATGTGTAAGTATAAAATTAACTTAGTAGAAATAATAATTCTATTAAAATAATGAAGCTATCTATGCAGAATTTAAAGAAGTACAGGATACTTTTCCGCACTCATATTGCAATTCACTTGATCACTTTACCCTACCAACACCAAAATACAATGATACAAGATGAGCATCCCTAATGTAAAAATCAGAACTCTGAAATGTTCTAAAATCCAAGATAGATTTAACAGACAGAAAATTTCATACTTGATCTCATCTTATGTAACAAGTCATAGTCAAAACACAAGTGCACTAAAACTATTGTAAAAATGAACTTCTGGCTATGTATATAGGTGTATCTGAAGAAAAAATTAGGTTTATCTATCCCCAAAATATTTTAATATGCAAATATTCAAAATGTGAAAATAATCATAAATCCAAAATTTCTGGTTCTATGCATTTCCATTGAGAAACACTCATCTGTATTGACATATCTTTCTTTCTATTTGTATTTCTTTGGAGTTCTTATACTAGGGAGACTATACGATATTTATACATGTGTGTCTGGTTTATTTCACTTATGAGTATATGTTCAAGTGGCATCCACTTCAATATAAAGGCTTATAGCTTATCATTCTTAATAGCTGAATAATACTCCATTGTGTAAAAATACCACATCTTTCTCAACCATTCCTCAGGTGATGGGCATCTTGGTTGTTTCCAAGATTTGGCTATCACAAATTGTGCTGCTATAAACATAGGCACACATATATCCCTATGATATGATGTTTTCAGATCCTCTGGAAAAATTCCCAGTTGAGGAATAGCTGGTTTAAAGGGGATTTCCAGACCAACTTTTCTAAAGAGTCTCCATACTGATTTCCATAACGGTTGCACCAGTCTACACTCCCACCAGCAGTGGAGAAGGGTTCCTTTTTCCCCACAGCCTCTCCAACATTTGTTGTTGGGTGATTTCTTTATGATAGCCATTCTTTCTGGGGTGAGATGATATCTCAATATGGTTTTAATTTGCATTTCACGAATGGCTAGCGATGTGGAGCATTTTTTCATATATTTATTCGCTTCTTTAATTTCTTCCTCTGAGAAGCATGTGTTCATCTCGGATGCCCATTTCTGGATTGGGTCTTTAAATTTTGGGGCCCTGATGTTTTTTAGTTCTTTATAGATTCTAGAGAGCAGACCCTTGTCTGAGTACTTATTTGTCATGATTTTTTCCAAATTTGTAGGTTGCCTTTTCACTTTGTTGGTAATTTCTTTTGACGTGAAAAAACTCAGTAAGAGCAGGTCCCAGTTGTTAAGTCTTTCAACTGTTTGATTTCTGTCCATGAACTCTTTGCCTACCCCTATGTCTTCAAGAGTTCTACCTACTTTCTCTTCCAGGAGATTTAGTGTCTCTGCTTTAATGTTTAGATCTTTAATCCATTTTGACTTTAGTTTAGTGCATGGTGATAGACCCGGGTCAAGTTTGAGTTTTCGGCATGTAGTGTATTGACATATATAGTTACTCTGTTCTTCTTTGTCTTTGGAAAATATTTTTGTTCTATTCTGTCTTCTAATCAATGCTCACTTCCTCCCTTACATAATCTTTCAGATGGCAAATGAAATATGGACATGAGCAAAGGATAAATGACCTTAAAAGTATATAAAAAATGAGGCACAATGTAGTCAAAAGGCAGGGAGAGACAGGCATACCTATCCTGGTATCTATTAATTACAGAGGTGTTTTTGCTTCTGTTTTGTTTTGTATGTGGTACTAGGAATTGAACATGAGACAGTTGTACTGAGCTTTATCATCAGTCCCTTTTTAAATTATCATTTTGAGATAGAGTCTTGCCAAGTCATTAGGTTACCCAGGCTAGGCTCAAATTTGTCCTTCTGCTTCAGCATACTAGAGCTCTGGGACTACAGGCATATGTCATCATGCCCAGCCACAAGAGGTTCTATACCACAGAGAGAGAAGGAAATAAAGATAAATTGTCATCTTTCATGCTAAAGTCCTATAGAAGATAAGCCTCACCATTTAAACTCTTACTTGATAAGAGTGGGAATAGGCCAAGTGTAATTCATTATAACTGGCAATGACAGAAAAATTTAAGCAATGATACACAGTTCCAGTAGTATGAATTTAATTCCCAGGACACAGCTAGACAAAGGCTAGCACTTAAACCAATATGAACAACTATAGCTCAAACAATTACCCTTTTGTCCAGATATGTAGGCACTATACTAGATAGAAAATTTTAGCCATGTCTGACCCTAAAGTGTTCTGAAACAGAGGATTTCAGAGTGGGAAGGTTTTACCTAATGTAGTCCTTTTCTTTGAAATATTCATATCAAGTGCTTATCTCATTTTTCCTGAAACATCTCTGGTCATGAGGATATCATTACTTCCTAAGAAGCCAGCAGTACATTTGGCTGCCCTATTTGCTAAAACATTAATCTTTATATTGACCCCTAAATCAACTTCTGTGCAGCTTCTACGCAGTACCATTGGACTTCATTCTGTCTTCTAGGGTCAAAGAGTTTAATTTTAACTCTTAATAGGCCTTGAATTGTGAAAATAACAGTCACAACTCCACTAAATGTTCTCATTATCAGGCCATAGAGCACATGGTCCCTGTTCCCTTTGCCATCTTACCCTTTTCTGGGCATGGGGCAATGACCGTCCTGGATGCCCCTCTTAACATTTCAGACTTAGAAAGTCAGCACTCAAAAATAGCTTCTTGTGTTTTACCATGGGTGTTTTTATTTTAACATGGAATTATTATTCATATTTATAAATAAAGGAAGAGATGCAGAAATACTTCAGTTCAGAGTAATTACAAAAAACATACTCTTCTGATGCTCATGAAACACATTTTTCAGATTGATTTCCAAATTACTTCTCATAGTTCAACCATAAGTTTTGATTTTATTTGCTATAAATTTTATAGAAGAGGTCTATTTCTTTGGCTGAAAGAGGCAACCAGTTAATAACAACAACAACAAAACTACATATCTTTGACAGTCAAAGATATGTATAATATTCTGTCATGCAGTTCCCTCTTAATCCATTAACTCCATTCTTGCAGTGTTTCCTTGCCCTCTAGTACAAACTTTGTGTTAGGCCCAAAAAGGATCATGTGTCTTACAGTATCTCTGGCTCCTTAAAAGAAATTATATAAATATAAATAAACATATCACCAGGACTTAACTAATCAATTTGTATAGTCACTTACCTTTAAATACTTGAGTAGCCCAGCGTCCTTGGAGCTCTGAAATGGGCATAATCGCTCCCAAAGGCTGTATCAGGCCTATGATTGCAAGAGTTGGCCTTTCGAGGTTAGGTGGGAAGACCTTTTTATACAGTGATACTTTGTTTTTCACAACTTTGACAGAATCTTCCAGAAAAGGAAAGGAAAAACTATAGCCTGTGGCAAAGATAACAACATCGATGTCATCTTCCTTGGAGCCATCCTCAAATATGGCCGCTGTCTCTGTGAATTCCTTCACATTTCCTTTCACCTTCACCAAGCCAGCTATTATACGATTGGGCAGGTCATCATTTACTGTTGGGTGCTGGCTCAGTGCCCTGTGAGTGTTGACAAAGATGAAGAGAAGAAAACATGAGAATGGCTGAAAGAGAGAGGGACGCTCAAGACCAACCTGAACTATATCATGAGACCCTGTGTCACTTTCCCAAGTGTGATCATTGTACTACAGGTATAGGAGAGAGCCTTTTTCTTAGGTGATGTATGCTGAAGTATTTAGGGTCACATACCTTAGTTACTACAACTTTCCCTGAAAAGGTTTAGCAATAGGTATGTCCTTATATAAATAGGAATACTATTTATGTGTGGATATATATTCTCAAAAAGGGAGAGAGAAAAATCAAATAGAGCAAACTGTTATAATAGATGAACCCTGATGAAAGGTTTAAGGTTGTTCATTGTTGTTGCTATTATGCAACTTTTCTATAGATCTGAACATTTTCAGAAATAATCAGTTCTAAGGTTGGCAAGATAGCTCAGTGGACTAAGCACCTGCTTAGGCAGTTGTAGGGACTGGGATTCGATTCCTGACACCACATGCTGTGCTGGCCCTGCCCCCGGGGTGTGCTGAGCTAGCCACTGAGACCAGGCGTGGTAACACACGCCCATCATCCCAATGCTGGGGAGGCTGAAAACAGGAGGATCACTACAAGCAAGAGTACCAAATGGATTAAAAATAAATAAATTAATTAATTAATTAAAAGTTGGACAAAATAGTTCACCTTCAGGAACTGCTTTTATGATCTACCTCCTTTGCAGTGTGAGAACTCCATTCTTTATACTCTTGGTGCTTTCTATGTATCTTTATAATATTCTGTTATATTTCTTCTTGTTAGTATATTTAAGGTTTTGGTATCTGCCCTTTACTATTTGTGTTGACCTTGGGCAAATCAGTTACTTTCTCTAAGTCACAATATTCCATCTGTCACCAGGAGTGGTGGTGCATGCCTGTAATCCTAGCACTCGGGAGGCTGAGGCAGGAGGATCATTGAAAGTTCAAGACCAGCCTGTGCTCAGAGAACTCGAGGCCACCCTGAACTGCATAGCAAGATCCTGTCTCAAAAAGACAAAAAAAAAAATTATCTGTAAAATGGACATAAAAATTGTACCAATCTAGAGGGCTGTTGAAAGGAGGAAATGAGATATTGCCTACAACTCTTTTAGCACTATAGTCTTATAGAATATTGTTAAAAAGTAGGTATCATTACTATTGTGGTACTACTATAATGCTTCTTATTGCTGTATTTCATGCCCAGGATAAAGACCTGGCTTGCAACAGGTACCCAGTATTGGAAAAAAACAAAGAAAGGAAGAAAAAAAAAAAAAAAAAAAAAAGGAAAGGAAAGAACAGAAAGGAAAAGAAGCAAGTAAGCAGTGCCCTCTACTCCCATTTTATTGTTGCACATCATTAAAAAAAAATCTGATACATAGGGGAATGAGAGAATGTTTGATGCCAAGAAGAATACTAATATTAGGCTGAAAACGTACAGACCAGCAGAGCTTGGTCTTCTGAGTCTGAAAAGATAGAAATCTTTTTTGCTTTGTTTTTTGAGACAGGGTCACACTATGTAATTCAGGCTAGTTTTGAACTCACTCTGTAATCAAGCTGGCCTTGAACTCTTGCTATGCCGTTCAGGCTGGCCTTGAGCTTTCTGAGTGCTGAGACTACAGGTATGCGCCACAATGCCTGGTAAAGGTAGAAATTTTAAGCCATTAAGATGCTATGCATTTTCTTCTGTATTAGACAGAGGTAGGTGTACTATCAGCCTGTGTTAACAGTCCTTATTCTTGTGTCTTGGTATTAACAACCCCACTCTTGTCCTGAGAACATACCTGTGTTTAGGCTTCAGGCCAAACATCTCATGGTCAAATCTTTCATTCAATTTTTTTTCCATAAATGAATTTGATAACGATTCGCCACATATTTTTGATAAAAAATACATAAACCGAGAAGAAAACAGCACATCAAACGGATATCCATGGCTTCCTACACGATTCAGGATCCAAGCTCCTCTCCTGGTACTGAGGAATACCTGGGACATGGGGAACATTATTTGCTTTTGTCACTTTGACTTATAGTAGTACTTCAAAATCACTCCACTTTCTCTAAGATTAAGCTCAAACTCGTTAGTCTGGCTTTCTAATCCCACAGTCTTTTCTTTAAAATCACTGACATTTTCCTTCCTGAATATTAAATTACAATTAAATTGGTATATTCATTGTCCACAAATATATCATACTATGATCCACCTGCATTTCTGTCCAATGCCATTATGCCTCAAATGCCCTCTCTCCTGTCAGTTCTCTTAAGCCTATTCATCCTTTGGATCCACATCAAACCTGGCTCCTCCATGAAGGTATCACTGACTACTCAGGCTGACCATTTCCTTTCCATCCTCTGAACATCTATAGCCCTTACCACTTATAGAACTCGTTAAAAATCATGGAATGGTATAGTTGAAAGCAAGTGAATATTGTTTAATCCCAAACTTTGTCCTTTTACCATTAACATTGCATATTGATTATCAAAAAAAACCTCTCTCTTGTGAATCATTTATATTGATGTGAAACTTTCTATGCTTTTAACTTCTGTCTGTCCAAGTGTGTTTTCCTCGGCATATCACCTTTACTTCCACTTCCTGAGATTTGTGGCCTTTAAGTCACTATGATAGGTCCTTTACTCATTCTTAAAGAACACAACAGCTTCCTAAGGAAGTCATTGTTAGCCCAGTCTTCAGGATGAGAGACGTGGAGAGGGTGAATTATATAGCTTGAGATCATATAGCTAGTAAATGGTAAAGCTGAATTTTCAACACTGTCTCAATGACTCCAGAACCTCTGCTTCAGAAGTATTATATTGATTATCGAATGGAAAAAATTGAAATGAATAGCAATGCTACAGGAAATTGATTGGTCTTCCTATGTCTTCTGTTGGCTAAAGTTCATGCTTAGAACTGATTAAGATTTGCTATTTGGTTACGTGGCAAAAGTGTCATTTTTTTCTGCTATGTGTAACTTTCAGGAGGTGGTTTCCAGAGTTGTAAGGTATAATAGCCTATTGGGTTATAATCTTTTGTTTTAGCTGCTATGCAAAATGATGCTCATCTAGAAAGGAATAATCCTATAATACACACATATTGCTCACTGATGATAACTTTAAGCCTTATCATAATTATTTTGAATGTCATAGTTGAAAGAGCACACATGGTGGGCTGGTAAGATGGCTCAGTGGTCTAAAGCACCTACTTAGAACAAGCTTAGCAAAGCACAGGGACCGCAGTTCAATCCCCCAGCACCACATGCC